ACACTGGGGTAACACCCCTACTCTTTTTGAGAAACAACCTGGGATTTTTAATGATTGCGGTTTTACGTTTCTCATCTGAAGGACAGTACCTTTTTACACTGTAGTGTCCCTGTCACTATACTGGGGCATTAGGATCATTAGGATCCACACAGACTGCAGGGTGAGTGCCCCCCTACTGGCCCCACTAACATTAAGACAAAATATACGGTAGATTATTGTGACGCCCTCAGGACAGCTTAGCACTGAAAGAATGCGCCACAGTGCAGGCTGGGAATTGCTGCTAGCTGACCCTGGTCATGTAAACAGTTGTGTAGAGAGACAGTAAGCACGGATTTAAATAGTTGTGTTGTTGTTGTTTTGCCCTGTTTCTCCAAGACCTGTATCCACCCTAACCTTGCGTGCCTGTTCCCATTGCAGCCCTCGTGTATTCAACCCTTACTTCAAGAATTTTTATGGTCTCTGTTGCTCTTGTTGGTGGACAGAGGTCCCAGATAAAGAGGTGCCCGTGCATCCAAATAGGAGGACAGTCCTGCTTATTTCCCACATTATTTTAATGAGGATGTAAACCTGAAAGAAGCACATCGTATTCACAACAAGCACTTGTTTTTAATTAATAAAAGTCTAAACACTATACAACTATAATTGGAAAGAATGTCCCAAGGGGCTCAGCATCACCAGCGTTTCAAACCAGGTGTTTTCTGACTACAGCCCAAATGCTTCCACACATCATGTTAAGCATTCACTGCATTCACTGCGCCACCTGGTGGTTTTACAAAAGTAGTCCAGTCCTTCAACAGAATATTTTTTTTAAAAGGGCAGTGTGGTGCAGTGCAGAGTGCTGGGGTTTGCGTAGCACAAACTGCTGTATTGTCCAGCATGCATTCTGAATGGCTGGATCTGTATGGCTTACATAGCTTATATAGGTTTTTTCTGTGGTCCCATTCTGCTGCTCTGGGAAGTAACACCAACTCTTTTAACCTCAACCCTTGTCGATCGCTATTAACCAGTCTCTTCACCTCAAAGATTGTCCATCGATACTCCTTAATGTAAGCCCCAAACACATTTAAAATTGACACAGCTGACAACAGTCCTTTCTAACGACAGAACTGAAAATAGATTGATTTTTGTAACAAATGCCATGTGATTAATTTCACATTACATTATTAAATGGACAAGTCTGTTAACAAGAGTATATGGTTGCCAAGGGTGCCAGAATGTTTTGGTGGTTGTGTCTATGATGGTAATCATTAATTAACATGACTCCAAGTCACCTTCGCCACACAGAAGCTGTGACGGTGGTATAGTATACCTGCTGAATATTGTTTAACTAACCAGAGGATGATACTAGACTCATCTAGTTAATTTGGTTGCAAGTTGCTTTTTCCATTGAAAGTTGCCACCTCAATTTTCATTCATTCATAAATTCCATTAATTTCCTGCATTGACAAGGTAAACAAACAAAAAAAAGTTTTCTTTCTATTTTGAACAAAAACTATAAAGGGAATCGATACAAAATCCTTATCTATCTCCTCTCCCAAAATGGAACAATGTTCTCCTAGACTGGATGTACCTTTTAATGTCTTGAATTATCTTTGAAACTACACGCAGTATAGATCTGGTTTGGGTCTTGAATTAAAGAGAACCCCTGTCTGAACCTTCAGATTTGTATGTTTTTTCTCACATTTTAGACAGAAATATCCAGAACAAAAACTTACTATCTTGGGTAAAAAGTGATCGAACAAGTATAAAAAACCTGCATGATTTTTTTTATGAAGACAGGACATGAACTGGTTTTCTCACCCTTCCAAAACGTTAAATGTAATAGTATTTAAATACTGGTGGGTAGCTGCGTCAGCATGCGTAGGCTGCAAAGGAACAAGTAATAGGTTTATTCCATGCTGAAAAAAAAGAAGAAAGAGAACACAACGTTTCGGCCGTGGAGCCTTCTTCAGGTGTGAGGGTATTTAAATACTGCCAGCCCTAGAGAGGCTTCTTATAATCTTTACAGTTTAAAGAAGTGTTTTACACTTTTTGTTTCAACTTTTCTGGTATTTATAAGGTTAAACAGGTTTAGTAAAACAAAATAAAAAACTATGCACGCATTCTAAAGAGAGGATACGTATTTGAACGTACAGTATATGGGAGCTTCACCAGCCATCTTTGTTGCAGAATGTTTTGTTTTTATAAACTTGTGAATTTTCTCATGGTAAGGTGAAATGTTCTTTATCTATTTTAGCAAAATTTAGCTTTTCTGCTTGTATCTGGCTGGAGAACCAATAAATTACAGACATACTGTACTTTGGTGCTTCTCTTAACTGAAACGCGAGATGACTATAACTATGACAAAAGGTTCATTTGCTTTATGATGATGTATCTAGTTATGAAACACAGTTCTGAAAAGCTCAGATTGCCTTGTGTTTTGTGATGTTGCGTTTTGATTTTGCTGGTAAAAATATATATTATTCAACCATTGTGCAGTTTCTGTCTCAAGTGCTATTGCCAGTATAATAGTATTAATTTATTTGTTTATTAAAAAATTGTTTCACTGAAATGAAAACAAACTTAATTGTTGTGTTTAGAGGATATTGGAAGTCAGTTTTATGTGCAATATTGTGAGGAATGATTAAAAAAATGTTTTTGGTAATAAAATGTAGCATTAAAACCAAATACACAAGCTTAGACTGATATGCCTAGCTAGGGGTGGACAAAGTCATCCCAATGGACTCAGAATCAACAGTTAAACCCAATAACACTTAATGATGAGAACAAGAAGCACCTTTAACACATGTTAAAACATCTGGAACCATAAAAATATCGAACAGCCATTTCATTGAAGCTGATACGCTGGCTACATTCAGGATATCAGCTTCAAAAACTTGAATGGGTAGTTTTTTGCAGACATCCAGGTAGCTAGTTACTGTATTTTGTGATGCTGAGTGTTCCAAGTGTGCATCAGAGTCCATAAGAGAGCATTTTCTAGGCTGTCTCTATTGGGTTTTGCTGGCTACTTCACTAAGACAGGGTTCTTAACCAGGGGTTCAGGAAGGGAACCTAAGGGTGTGGGAGTCACATATAATATTAACAGAGAATGCCTAACCATTATACAAATATTTATCTTTATATTTTTATAATTTGCAATTAGTTATTGTTTAACTTAATTGCATAGAATTCATTTAATAAATGTTGCCATTATTATTTTTAATAAAACTTGAAATGATCATTTAAACCATTGCACCCTACGTTTAAAAATGTTGGTGATGTCGACGAAGAATTTCAACGAATCTTGGTCTCACATTCATCACTGATCATCATGACATACAGAGGCCTCAGTGCTTCTTATGTGGGAACATTTTTTGCAATGCCAACATTAAACCACCTGGGAATGAATCAGACAGTCTTGAGGTATTCTGACAGAAAAAGGCTCCAGGGAGGCACCAGAAATTTTGCCGAAACTTAGATTTGCTTTGGTGCAAAAACTAGAAACATCTTACAAGGTCATTTGTCATGCCTTGTGCCATGGAAATGGTTGAGCTGGAATGTGCTACAGAACAGTGAAAGAAGATTGAGGAAGTAATTTTATCATTCATTCTCAAATTGTCAATGTCTTTGAATATTCTGAAACAGGTTATACAAGACAATACCAATGTGTCACATAGTAGTCAGGTGTTCATTTTTTATTTGGTATATGGAAACTGGTACCATAAAGAAGAATTTATCATTTTTTGTGAGCCGTTTCAAACAACCATGGAGGCTTCAGATATTCTTTAAAAAGTAAAAAGTCAAGGTTTAATTGTAAGGAATGTCTCAGCACAAGATACACCAATGGAGCACCTTCTATAATGGGAAAGAACACTGGATTTCCTCCCTGCTGAAGAGAGAAGAAAGTCATCGAGACTCACTGTTTCCTACATTGGGGTGCTCTGGCTTCTACATTGCTTCCAGAAACTCTAAAATATGTCCTGTCAATAGCTGTACAAGTATTCAGCTTTATTCATGCCAGGTCCCTAAGCATCAATCCATTACTGAATTCTGTACTGTTATCATGTAATAAATATTTGAATTTACATATCATACATTAAACATGAATGCTCTTTGGGGTGTGGTGTCTGGTGTTGCCTCCAGGCTGTCTGAAGGCTGGTTGGGCATGTTGTTATGGGCAACCCTGCAGTCTTCAGTTCTAGGAAGCTCCAGGCAAAGGGCTCTTGGCATGGGTCAGGTAACATGGCTGGGGTGGGGTCCAATGCAGCTATGGGGCATAGCACAGTGCTCCCAGTCCCGACCTGTGGGCATAATTGATATCCCATTCAAGTTGAGGCCACTGGGGAGGCCACTGCCAAGACTAGAAGAGGAACTCTCAGTGTGGGCAGCTTGGACACAAAGCAACCGGCCAGCGTCTAATAAATGCACTGGATGGGGCTGCTGCCAATGTTCTCATCGTCTTTGATAAGTGTCACGCCTGACATCCCTTCCTAGAGGGCGCTCCACTTCTCCCATTATTGTCCTTGTGATTAAGCTCCCTAGGTGTACCCCCTTAGCTTTATTATTTAAAGACTAGCTCCTCCAGTCGTCGGCGCTCATCATTAGGGTAAAGATGTCGCAAGGCCAGCCTAGCACCAGGAAACCCTACGTCCATCTCCTGAGGGCATAGGCCTCATCACCGACATCTCCCGCTTCCTGAGCCCGGGGTCTGGAGGATCTCGCCCCGTCACCCTTGGACCTCCATGTTTTGCCTGTCCGTGTGTTCCCCTCTCCCACGGATTTTAACCTTGTCGCGTCCCAGGATAGATTCCTTGTTGATGGACTTTCGGACTGTGCCCTGACCTGCCTTTGGACCTGTTTGGATTTGGATGCCGTGTTGTCTTCCCTGTTCACTGTCTCACGGATTGTCACTATTATTTTGTGCACTATTAAACCACTGTGTGTTCCCTTTGACCAAGCCTCCTGTTTTCTCCAGCTCTTACCGTATCGCATAGGGTCTACTACAAGATGTGACACGGATTTCAGTCAGTGTCCGTGACAATAAGGAGGCTGTGGAAGTCACTGATAGCTTGATGGTGGCAGTGGAAAGGTGCTTTGGCAGGTGGGAAGTCCTCACAGTTGCCTGGTAATGCCTGGGACAAAGACTGCAACAAAAACAGCACCTGTTTTGCTACAGACGCTGCTTGCTTGTGAAGGAACCTTACCTTGGAAGTCACAGACTTTTAAAATGTTGCTGGCACTGTAGAAGCTGGGACCACTCATGGTATGATGCCAGAAAAAGCTGACAGAATGGCATTAACAGGGTTCTAGGAAACATATAATAAAATGGACAAGCCAACACTCATTTCTTTGCAATGTTCCACTAAACAACTTTGAGAAGCATTTTTAAAGTAGTTTATTCAGAACGTTTTGTATGCAGAAACATAAGGAAGCAGGAGAAATTAATTAGTGACATACAAAAGATGCTGATTTTGTCTGTGACTCATGATGTATTTCAAACATGATGAAACTATAGATTTGTATTTTCTCCCAAAGTTTTAAAAAGTGCTTTTAAATACATATGCACTGTACTTCTAAAAGGGATAGATTATTGCACTTGAGGCTTATAATGACTATGTATTAACAGCACCAATATGTTTACAAGTTCTATTGGAACAAGGTGATCAAAGATGATGCAGTGTTAAAAATTCTGAGTGTTACAATCAATTTCACAGTCTTCTGAAACCAGGGATAAAAGAGAGCATAAATAATAGGATTCAGACTAGAGTTAAAATATACCAACCATGTCAGAAAATTATTAACTATAGAAGAAAAAGATAAATTCATATCTGCATAAACAAAACCACATATATAATATGGCATTAAACACATCAGAAAGATAAAAACTACCATTCCTAATGTCTTTGCAGCTTTTCGTTCAGATTTCATAGAAATCCTACCCTTTCGTTCATGAGAAAAAGGCAATTGCTCCTTGAATGAACTAATGACTTTTGCATGACTTCTAGCTACTATAAAAACTTTTCCATAAAGTAATAACATTACAAAACATGGTAACATAAATATAATTATATCAGCCATACTCCACATATCATTGATAAAAAACAAACACTCTCCAAGACAAGTATTATGTTTTTCTGCACTGCTGATATTCCCATTAAAATAAAGGAGTGCCAAGCTGTAAAGGACTGATAGTAACCATACATGCAATATGGCTATTCGTGTTAGATTAGCTGTTATTTTTATAGAATAAAGTAAAGGGTCACACACAGCAAGATACCGGTCAATAGCTATACATGCAATATTATAAACTGAAACAGAAGCTACAATACAACCAATTGTTTTATAAAGTATACAGAACTTTTCTCCAAAATACCAACATGTTTCTATTAAAAGAATTAAACAGAAAGGCATCACAGTTAGTCCTACTAGAAAGTCTGCCACAGCCAGAGAGAGCACAAGGAAGTTAGTTGGTGTGTGGAGCTGCTTGAAGTGAGAGATAGAGACGATCACAATCAGGTTTCCACACACTGTCAGCATCACCACTGCCACTGCAGAAATATACATCACCACATAAACAGCTGGAGATCGCACTTCCTTAGTACAGGATGAGTTGTATGTCTGAAAACAATACTGCATTGCTTCAAATTCGTTTTTCCATGAAGCTGTAAATCAATTGTGTTCACTAAAGGTCCACATGTAAAATATCAGAATTTAAATAAGTTTGTAAGTCATGAATAAGGCACGCTTACAGATTCAACTGGTATTAATCAGAATAATGTTTAAACATTGAATTATATACCATGAATAAGTTAAATATCTGCACTCAAAACATCAAAATCTAAACATGGTTAAGAATTTTTGGGAATATGATGAGAACAAATTAAATTGACACAAATAAGATTAACGTTAACAACCTTGCCTTCAACTCAGTGTCTACAAATCTTTTGATGTGGTGTGATGTTTATATTAATAATTCCTGGCCCCTCCTGGGTGTTGATGACTCTCCAGTGCTCCTAATGACATCTGTTGATCTGGGTTTTTGTGAGGAGCCTAGTGAGCATCCCATATCCTTAGACTGAACAGGGAATAAACAGAAAAACAATGGGAACTTAAAGATGTTTTGGCAAATTCAAATAAAATAAAAGTGAACAAAAGTCTTTAAACTAGGGGGAAGAAAGTTAATTAAATCAATTAATGAAAGGCAGATACAGTAAGCAAAATCCTTAGAAAAGAGCATGTACAGCTCATGCTGTTGGGGTTAATGTGAAAGTAGTCTGCCAGGACTGTTGGTAGGACAGTTGCCCCTGCCACCTCCTGGATGCTCGTAGGCATGCAGTGTTGCTTGTGAGGAATCCACCTTTCTTCCAATTAGCGATAAACCTTTACTACTGGTCTATTTTACCAATAAAGTGGTAGAAAATGAACAAATCAAAGGTCAACAGGTGGAAGGAGCACAACTACACTTCCTCACGTTCCCATGAGCAAACCCAGAATTCCTAGCTTGAAGCAGAGACATGAGAAAACACATTCGACATTTGACATCAGATGGATGTTTGTGGATATTATGACTTTCGGGTAGTTAGTTGACATAGGAAGGTGAGGAGACTGTTATTTTAGGTCTGTTGGGCCGTTAGATTACACTGTTCTTCTTGCTTCATGAGGAAGCTACATCCCCCTTTTTATTTACAGGGGGCATGCTACAGTAGTCACGGAGAGGTGGGAAAAGCAGGGCGAAGAAGAGAAGCAGAGGGAGGTGAGGTTCTTGAATGATTCCAGGTAGGAAGAGAGCGAACAGGGGTCTCACATTCCTTTTGTGGGGGGGGTGACACCGCGGATATACCCTCGCACCCCTCGCTACGGATGGTACCACTAGAGGGCCTGTAAGGCAACAAAACAGCCCCGTGCTCACCAGTGACTGCCCAGAACTAGAACCTCGCCTATGCAGCACTGCTGAAGAGCTTAGTAATCAGAACCCCTTAAAGACAGAATTCTTCATTTACTTTGCTATACAGCTCCATTTAACTGTATAGAATATAATCCATCTAAGTGATTCTTCACCGACTTTCCACCTCCTTATCAGGAGAGTTAATTTAATATTCAGTGACACCCCTGGCTAATTACCCACGCACTGTCACATCGTGGCGCCCAACGTAGGGCTCTGTGTGGAGAAATGGCCAGGGCTGATTCTGCTTAAGGAAGCAGTACGAGCACTCATTTTCGCCGTCTCTGCTGAACAAGAGGCTAATGGGCTCCGTCGTCAAACTCAAGACACCCAACAAGTGTCACGCCCTCTGCAGCCAGGGGGCACTCCTTCTCTGTCCTGTCCCTAGTTTCTGGTCTGCTGTCCTTCCTGTCCCTCTCTCCCTTGGGCTATATATTTCCGGGTCTTGCACTCTGTCCTCGCTCAGCATTGATGTTCGGATGTCCTGAGACCCACCTAGCACCAGGGCGGCCCACGTCCACTCCCTGAGGGCATAGGTTTCTATACGGCATTCCTGAACTCTTTGCACTAATGAGCCCGGGCCTTTTTCCCGTCTTGCTGCTACGCATATGGGTCTTTTTCCGCTCTCCTGCTCCCCACGGTTAGTCCCTTTGAACGTCCGTGACAACAAGTCCAGCTGGTGATTTTCCAGGAGGCAGCCTCGGTCCAAACCTGCTACCTACCGAGCCAGGTCAAGGTGACCCAAGACCTTTGTTGTCAAATGGAAGATTTTATTTATCTTTTCTCCCTGCTCCTCCTCATCTTTTTTGAGAGGACAGCTGAATGCCTTAACCGGGACTCTGCTATCTGGGTGAGCATCATTGCTCCTTTTCTCTATGGGGAAGCTCAAAAGGCATATTACAACCTTGACAGCTCTTCTGCTGCAGATTATAACCTGCTCAAAGCTGAGATCCTCACCCATGAAGGGGTTAAAACACGGGTCCAGGCACAGTATTCCAGGTGTTGCGCTACAGTCCCAACATCTCCGCTCACTCTCAAATGTTCAATCTAATCTACTGTACTTGGCAAAGAAATGGTTGGAGCTATTCACTTTGATGCCCAATCAAATAGTAGAAAGAATAGTCCTCTACTCTCATCCATGATAATCGCCCCCTAACCTGTATCAAAATGTTGAACAATCCAATCGTCAAAATGTAGATGACTTCATGGCAACCTTGGAACAGTCTGGCAGCCACTGACATCGCAGGGAAATCCCAGGGGGCTGCTGCTTCCTCATCCTCTCCTCTGTGTCGAGGACTCCAAAGGGAGGAGACCAAGCAGAATCTCGGAATGGGTGCAGAGTCAGTTCCCATCTAATCTGAAGGATGGCCATAGCTTTCCAGGGACATAAGGTGGTAGAACCGTGATGAACAGCCACATTGTGAACAT